GCCGCGGGCCAGACGCGGGGGCTGCAGCCGGGCGCCCTCAGCCATGGCCGCGCCCGCCGCTCGCCGCTGCTGCCTGGGCTGGGACTTCAGCACGCAGCAGGTACCGAGCGGGGTGCCGGGGTGGCCGCCTCCTCCTCCCCGCGATCAGGGCGCCGGGGACACTGGGCCGGGCCGCCGTGCGTCCTCCTCCCGGGGACCCCCGCGCCCCCGGAGGATGTCCCGCCGGTGCGGCTGCAGGATGCACACAGCGTGCCCGCCCCGACCCTGTAGGCTGCCTGGGAACTTGGGGCGTCTCAAGGCGGGACCGGACAGGCGGGCGACCGGGCAGAGCACGGAGGGGAAATGGGGAGCTCGCGAGCCCGCGCGCCCTGGTGGGCACCGAGGGACTGGGGACCCCAGAGAACGCACGCACGGTGTGAGCAGACGGGAAGACGTGCACACGTGCCTAACCGGTGACCTGGAACCAGATCACGTCTGGAAAATAATATGTCTTTACGTGAAATGGGCACGATGCACACTAATAAGTGGACTTTGTCTCTGCACGTGACAGCCCTCACTTGGCACCTGTATGCTCTGGTCAGCGGGGCCAGGACTCTGGTGCAAGGATGAGCTGTGCTGCCCGAAGAGCCCAGGCAGGAGGGCAGAGTCAAACAAGCAGAGAGGAAAATAACAAGACTCTCTGCATGTTGTCACGTGTCACGTGCTGCAAACTCAGAATTGACTCGTAGCTGACAGTGGGGTTATTAGAGGCTGTAAATCGCGAAGTAGGAGGAAGCCCATGTTTCTCTCACAGAGCACCTGGTGGATTTGAACTGCCAGCCTTTGGCTTGGCAAGTACAACTTCTTTTTTTTTTTTTAATTAATTTTTTAAAATTATTTTTTAATTAATTTTACGGATATTTTACAGAAACTTTGGAAATCCATTCATTCATTGTTGCACTTTTCTCCCTGCCCACCCCTCCCCGCAACTTCTTATCCATGACGCCCTCAGAGCTTCCGGCCTGTTTTCATGAAGGGCTAGAAGAGACCCTTCTCTTTAAAAGGAATGGGGAGGGGGGAGAAGAACGAACTGGGGAGGAGGGTAGAGAAAATAGTGCAACGATGAATGAATGAAAACCCAAAATCTCTGTAAATGTTCTTTAAAACTAATAAAATTTAATAATAATTAAAAAAAATAAAAGGAATGGAGAAATCAACACGGTGGCATACAAACCTTCCTCTTCGGATGAGTTATGAAAGGCAGCCATTGGCCAGTCCTTGACCTGAACGCCCTGGGATTCACCAGGTTAATTTATCTGCCTTGTTAGACATCTGTTATTCTCTCTGTTCAGAAAAGTTGTACCCCTGACCTTGGCAGTATGTGTCTCTGGACCTTGATCTTGGTGTGTGGAAATAGCCTATTACCCATGGCTGGTGCATCAGACTACTGCATATATGAACCCCTAAAAAGATGTCTTCAAACCCCCCTCCCCATTCCTTCCTCATCAAAACTTCCCTGGGCCTGCTTCTGGAACCCTGGTGGCGCAGTGGTTAAGCATTATACCCCAGTCTCCAATGTTTGTGGTTCCAACCCACCAGCTGCTCGTTGGTTGAAAGAAGTGGCAATCTTCTCCCTCAGATGTCAGCCTTGGAAGCCCTATAAGACACTTCTTTCTCTGGCCTGTGTGGTTGCTATGAGTTGGAATTGACTTCATGGGAGTTAACTGTGGCCTGGGCCTGCTTGCTGGGTGTAGGGACCTGCTTGTCTGAACATCCACCCCTGGAAGCTATTGGCTTTGACAGTTGAAGGTGTATGCATGTTTTTCTACTCCATCTTAGGGAGCTCTCATGGCTTAGTGGTAAGGAGTTGAGCTGCCAATCCAAAGACACGTGGTTCAAATCCACCAGCTCCTTTACAGGGGGAAGGTGGGAAATCTTCTATTATGTGATTAGTGGCCCCTGAAAACTCACTTCTGGGTCAACTGTGAGTTGATTCGGACTTGACAGAATATTTAACACCACCACTTAACCTTAGCTTCTTTGTCTTACTATAAACTCTTTGGGGGTGCCTCTAGTTGAGGCCTCTGTTGTCATGGTTACAGTGATGCACCCCTGACTTCAAGAGATCTTCAGGCACACTTTCCTGGGGTGCTGGGCCTCACCTGGGAATAGTAATACCCCTAAACCAATATACAATCTAAGAGTAATGCTGAATGCTGCATTTAATAATGCCTTTCAGGTGAAAGTTGTTGCTGTTGATTCGAACTTGAACGTCTTCTATGAGAAGAGTGTGCAGTTTGACAGAGACGTCCCAGAATTCGGGTATGTACCTGGAGTGCACGTGGGGGTAGGCGATTGGTTTGGGAACCCACCTCTGATCATTTGCATTCACAGATCACACTGTCCTGGCTTCATAAAACTGCAGGAATGATGATGTTTTTGGTCTCAGAAAAGTCACTGCCATCAAGTCAGAACTGACTCATGGCTGACCCTCAAGCAGTCTTTCAGAGGCTTAAATTGCACAGGAGGTGGCTGCCCATCTTTCTGGGTTTGAACTGCCTGCCTTTGAGTTGGCATTGAAACTCCTTACCCACTAGGCCAGCAGACAGTCTTCATAGAGACCTTGGATTCTTCTTCCTATGCCTGAAATATTCTCCTTCCATGTTGTCTCAGTTCCTTCCTTAAGTTGTTTTATAGTTTGTCACTAATCTATTAATGACCCCAGAATGTTCCCTAAAGGGATCTTAAAACTTCTCATTGAATGAGGGATATCAATTGCAAACAAAGAACTCTCAAAAAAATTAGTTATAAACATTGAAAGAATGGAACTATTCTTTCAAGTGCTTATTATAAAGGAATAGAGAGGGAATATCTGGAATGGTTTCTAAGAGAGTGTTATTTAAGTTGACTCCAGGTCACAGCGTAGAACTGCCCCATAAGATTTTTTAGGTTGTAATCTGTTAAGGAGCTGATTGCCAAGTCTTTCTTCCTTGAAGCTTCTGCTTGGATTTGAACTATCAACATTTCAGTTAGCAGTCGAGTGCCGCTAAGGCACGTTCAGGGATGAAATATTCTACTTAATTCCATTTTATCCTCAAACCTTGAAGACAGCTATTGTGACCAGCTGTAGACTGGAGACTGGACTGTTGTGAATCATAGGAATTTCACTGGCCGATATTGGAACTGTTTTGCAAGGCCTTTCTTCCTAATCTTTCAGTCTGGAAGCTATTCGATATCATTGCAACATGCAAGCCTCCGCTGACAGGTGGGTGGTAGCTTTGAATGAGGTGCACTAGCTGGAACTTGAGCCTAGGTTTCCCTCATGGAAGGTGAGAATTTCACTACTGAACCATCACTGTTTCAGCCCCGCTGCTAATGTGCAATTTTCATATTCAGGAGTATGTTTTACTTCACCTGAAGCTCTGGTGTCATAGTCCTTGGGAATTCCACTCCTATAAAGTGGTTCTTCTCTGGCGATTTGAATCCATCCGCGGTTCTGACGGAGAAAGGTGGGCAGTTACATTCAGTGCCATTTGCAGCCTCCCAGCACCTGCCGGGGCCTTATCAATGCATCAGCTCCAGGCCGGCAGTAATGAGTGAGTGTGTGACTAGAATCAGAAAAAAGATGGAAATGTGTCCATTCAGTGTTTTGTGCAGCTTTCCTTCATGCTCCCCTGAAGGTTACAATCTGATTGAGGAAAAGAGACGGCTGACCTGCAAACAGATAACTAGAAATGCTCAGGTGAGAATTGTGGTTGTCACGGGGTGCCACTGAGTCGAGTGTAAATCGTAGCAACCCTATGAACCACAGATCTGAACCCTGTCCTGTCCTGTGCCGTCCTCACAATCCCTGACACGCTAGATTTAATTGTAAGTCACGCAATGACCAGACTTCTCCAGCCCTACCTGTATCCCTTTACTTGCAGTGTCGTTTTGCAGCTCCGTGAGGGAAGAGAGTCGTTTTCCCAGTCTTTGAATCTGGACTGGCTCCCTGACTTGCTTTAACAGACAGAACATGGGAGAAGTCACGTGCCAGTTTCAAAGCCAAAACCTCCAGAAGTCTTGCCTACTTCTGCTGTCTGTCTTGGGACCCTGCTCAGCCACCCCGCGGACTCCTGCAGCCTGCTGGAGGACAATGTAGGTGGTCTGGCCCTCTGTCTCCCAAGCTACTCTCAGAAACACCCCCTCTCTGTTAGCTCACTGTAGTGGGCCCAGCCCAGCCCAGCCCAGCCCACAAAATCGCCTGGCTGATCCCAGCTCAGTGATGGGCCAGCAAAATCAGGATCTAAGTAAAATTGATGGTTCCAGGTTATTAAGTTTTAAAGCGGTTTGTAACATCGTATCAACTACCAGGTATGTGTAATTCTTTTTGCGCTTATACCTGACATTTTGAAAAAATTCTGGGTAACTGAGATTTTTAACAGAGACTGACCAGCTACCTCACAAGCGTCATTGCTGGTTCTGCTGGGGATTCACATGGCTGGCCTCCATTTCCCCGGCCAACATAGGAACCGAGTTCAGACCAACGGAAAATTGGCAAAAGTGAATGCCTCTCACGGGCCCCTCCGTCAAAACTTCCTGTGCAGCCTTCCAGCGTCTCTTCTGACTTTTATCAGATACAGTAAATCCTCACAATGCACAGATTATGGATTTACCAGTTTGTCTACTTGCTGGAATGTATCTTTAACCCTAAAATCAGTTACCTGCATTGATGTCAAGGTCATGGACAAACATGCTGTAAGGTCAAATACAAATTAGAAGAACGAAGAAAAACCAGATGCTTCATGCTCCCGGTTAAAAAAAAAAGTAGAAGAAACTCCTCCCCACTCCCTTTTTCCTTTTTCTTGGACCATTTACTTATGAAAACGTCAACATTTCTTTCTCGCCTCTTCAAAATTGCTGGCAGTCTCTGCTAAGTAACCCTCTAGCTCACCTCACCACACAGGACAGTGCGCTCAGGTACCTGGAAGACATCTATTTGCAATGTGATCACTGAGGGAAGATGATATCCCTTATTTCTGAGTTTCCTAATTTTGGTTCATTTCACACTCGTCTTAGCCCCTAACTTGTTAAGGAGCTCAGGATGGTGTGACAGTGTTTTGCAGTTTGAATTCAGTTGGAATGTAGTGGGAGAAATGACTGGTGATCTGATCCCCTAAAGATCATCCCCGTTATATGCCATCAAGTCGACTGTGACGCGTAGTGACCCTGTGAAAACAGATGTGAGTCCTCCTCTCTCCTGCCCCATCCACACCATTTCTGACACACTTGAGCCCGTTGCTGCAGTCACTGTGTCGGTCTGTCTTGTTGAAGGTCTTCCTCTCTTTGTCTGACCTTCCACTTTTCCCAGTATCCTGTCTTTGGGATTGCAGTGCAGCACCAGGCCACCAGAGCTTCATATGAGAGCTGGACAGTGACTAAGGATGACAACAGAAGAATTGATGCCTTTGAGTTATGGTGCTGGAAAAGAGTATTGAACATACCATGGACTGCCAAGAGGACAAACAAGTCTGTCCTGGAGAGGGTGAAACCAAGCTGCTCCTTGGAGGCAAGGATTTGGAAACTCCATCTCACATAGTTTGGACATGTTATTGGGAGGGACCAGTCCTTGGAGAAGGACATCATACTTGGAAGGGTAGAGGGTCAGCACAGGTGAGGAAGACCCCGGATGAGATGGATTGACACTGTGACTGTGGCAGTGGGGGCCAGTGTGTTGGAGACAGGGAGGCTGGCTCAGGAGAGGGCTGTTATTCGGAGCTATTGTTCATAGGGTCGCTGTAACTCATGATCAACTTGATGGCACATAACAACAACAAGAACAACGTGTTGCACCAGAACTATATACAATGGGGAGAATTCCTTCCTGCCTTTACCATCTCTTTAGTAGATTGCCGGTACATTCTGGCTTAATGCTCACACCACAATAAAACCTTTCTCTTCAGTCTCTGTGGAGGGTTTGTATGGGTTTGGCGGGAGGTCTTCTTTTTCCTATTTTCCCACCGATGTGCCAAGCCTCGAAGAACGCGAGTCACCTGACCGGCCTGTTCGCAGCTGGAGTCAAACAAGGTGACCCCACTCTGCCTTCTTCTCTCACCTTCCATGCTGTAAACAAGTGTCCTTTTCACGGTCTGTTTAGTGACAAGAATTTGCACTTTTTGTTGATGATTATGCCGTTTAAAGTGGCTTCCTTGTGTCGTGCTGGGTGAAGGGCTGTCTCAAGTGTTTACTCGTGAGAAGGCTGTGATGGGCTTTATGGAGAAGATGCAGGTATCAGCGTGCTTCACTCAGAAAGAGTGGCAGGGCGATTGGCCAGGAGTTTGGTGTTAGGAAATCAACCCTTTACATTAAGTGGGAAGTCTTTACACAGAAAACAAAGTTATAGGTTGAGGAAAATGTCACCAGAGGCTCACAGGATTCAAACTCTGAATTTCACTTAGGAGTAAAGGTTCAGTATTCACGAATTCATTGTCCACAGTAGCTTAATTTAGACAGACTATATTGCGAAGGGAAAGTCTGCTGTTAGGGACTTCTCCAAAGTATTGAAGAGCAATGGTGCCACTCTGGAGACTAAGGTGCATCTGATACAGGCCATGGTCTTTGCAATCACTTGTTATGCCGTCAGAAAGTTGAACAATGACTAGGGAGGATAGAAGGAAAATTGATGCCTTTGAGCTGTGGGGCTGGAGAAGAGTATTGAGTATACCATGAACTGCTAAGAAAACAGACAGATTCATTTTGGAGAGGGTTAAACAAGTTTGCTCCTTGGAGGCAAGGATTCTGGAGCTTTGTCTGACATACTTTGGACATGTTGTAAGGAGAGACAGGTCCTTGGAGAGTGACATCATGCTTGGGAGGGTGGAGAGACAGCGCAGGAAAGGAAGACCTTCTATGAGGTGGATTGATTCAGTGACTGGGGTAATTGGGATGGATGTGTCAGAGGCAGTGCAGTTGGCACAGGATAGAGCAGGGTTTAGGGCTGTTGTGCATAGGGTCGCTATGAGTCACAAGCGACTCGATGGCACATAACAACATAATGACCAAGAATAAGGGGAGGTGATGGTGTATGATTTCAAAATGCTTCTCCTGTTCTGCAGGTTTTCTTTTCACTTTCTCAATAGATCTTTTAGAGTATAAAAGTTTTCCATTGTTATAAAATCCAATTAATTTTTTTCTTGTTTTTTTGCCACACCTGTTGGATTGTGGTACTGTTTTACATTTACCGCATAAAAAGAGTTGCACTGCGAACCTAAAGGCCAGTGGTTCAAATCCACTAGCTGCTCTGAGGGAGAAAGGTGGGTGGTCTCCTCCTGTGCAGTTTACAGCCTCTGAAAACCCTCTGGAGAGTGAGCTCTGAGTTGATTCTGACTCATAAGTTGTTGTTTAATTGCATACAAAGAGCTGGAACACTTCCTCGTTTTTAGATTTGCTGACACAGTTTGCACAGTATTAGAAAGATTCTTTAAGATTTTGCTAGAATTTTTCTGTGGAACAATTTGGCAGTAAATAGGTCTCATGCACCTTCGTAGAAACAATTGCTTGCTTTGCATTTTTAGACTTAATTTATTTTTTTTAACCTAATTGAGTTTTGGGGTTTTTTTTATATTTTACTGAAAGTTCATAAAGAATTTGGATTTCCACTTGTTCATTGTTGCACATTTCCTCCCTGTTTCCCCGCCCCCCTCAGTTCACTTTTTTCTTTGGAAAAGTTCTTTCAATTATACACTGTTTTCGAGCTTTGTATATGTGAGGGGAAGCTGTGTTGTTTTGGGGTGTCGTCCACGTGCTTTTGACGTGTAGCAACCCCAATGGTATTCCAGGTTGTAACCTTACGGAAGCGGGTCCCCAGTCTTTGTCCCGCAGAGCCTTTGGGTGATTTTGAATCGCCAACCTTTTGCTCTCCTTGTAGGACCCAGGGTGGCGTGCATGTGCACGAGGATGGGCTGACGGTCACTTCTCCAGTCCTGATGTGGGTCCAGGTGAGCACAGAGACTTCTGTCCACTTTGCTGTCCTTCAGACCATCTCGCCTGGCACGCTTAGTGATTTACTAAGGAGCTCAGAGATGGCAGCTCGTGAGAGTATCTGTGGAGACCAGATCCTCGTGAGAGAGTGGAGGCGACATGCCTCCTGGGGTTGGGCTCCGGCGTGGCTAATGTTTGGTCCTTTCAGGCTGAGAGAACTCAGAGAGGACGTCCAGGTCCTGGAGCCACGGTCACTAGCAGGTCCCACCAGTGCTGTGTGTAATTGCCACAGTGTAATTGGTCCTCGAAGCCCCTCTGCAGGCTGACCCTGTGGCCTCGCATGCATCCTCAGCCCCGGGCCCAGTCCTTGAGGGTTTAGTGCCCAGCTCACAGATCCCTCCTTAGCGGCTGAGTGAGAGGTCTTATGGTCTGAGCGTTCAGGCTAGAACCATCCTAAGCCAGACCTGGCCATGCAGAACCACAAGCGAGGAAGGTGCCTGTGGCCAGATCAGGCAGCCCATGGCCCTCAGGCCAGGATATGGACCACACAGCATGACAGAGGGCTGCTTTGTACACAGATATCCTGATCCTGGAACTAGAGGCCAGCCCAGGTGTTAATGTCTGCCAGAGCTGTTTTCAGTCCCCCAGGACACATTTCACCAAATCCCTGTATTAAATTCTTTCTGGAAAAATAACTAGTGCAACCTCTTTTTTTTTTCAGCCTGGTCCTGCTGAGACATTGGGGTTTGGGGTCAAGGATAGGTTTTTGGTGAAGTAGGCTGACAAGGATACACTTCAGACGTGATACACAGCAGACCAGGGACTAGTGATAGTTATGGGGTTTACAGTTACCCTGTTTTGGTGCCACCTGGTTCTCCTGCATTTTCTAGTGTTGGTATGTTATAAATTGGAGAATAAGAATTTGAGAATCAGTGGACTTGATTCTATTTATTCCACATTTTTAGCATAAGTCTCCTTTTCATTTGCTTGGCATGACTTATTTAATGAGTTTCTCGCAGAGCCAGTCCTTGGGAAAAGATATCACCCAGGGGAAGGTGGAGGGTGAGATGTAGACCCCCAACTTGATGGACTGACTCAGTGATTGCCGCTTTGGGCTCAGGCATATCGGAGCTGGAGAGGATGGCACAGGACAGCGTGAGGTTCAGCTCTATTGTTTGCAGGGTTGCTGTGTGTCATAGTTGACGTGACAGCACGTAACAACAGGGCTGGGAAGATCTCAGGTCATCGGTCCCTCCTTTGCCTGCCCCCACACCCTTGTCTGTAAGGGCGGGAGATTACCTTTCATATTTCAGGCTTGTGTGTTTGCCCGATTAAATGCGTTATTCCAGTCTTAGCGGATTCTGTTTTTCCTTCTCAGGCTCTGGATATCGTCCTGAAGACGATGAAGGCTTCGGGCTTTGATTTCTCTCAGGTCATCGCCTTGTCTGGGGCAGGCCAGGTTTGTGATGACGGTTTCCTCCGGCTATGTGGGGCAGCTGTCCCGGGCAGTGGGATACACGGTGGTGGGTGTTGAGAACTCGCTCTTCTCAGAAGGCATATGCTCATGGTAAAAAATCCCTACAGCTGTTTTACCTTCAAGGATGAACAACTTAACATCTTTCCAGAAGGATTCTAACACAGTGTTTACTATTAAGTGTTACCCAAAATAGGACACGTGGTGAGCGGGCACTGAGTGAGATGGTCTGTAAACACGTGGGTCTGAATTGACTCCGAGAGCTGACAACAAAAATGAGGCAGTCACCTCCCGTGCAGGAGGATTGAATTGCTGACCACTTCGTGCATAAGCAGCGCTTGTCTGTCACCGGGGACTCGTGAGCTGCTATACTCTGATGGCTTAGTGGCAAGAAGCTGCGCCACAATCCTAAAGGCACATGGTTCGAGACCACAGAAGAAGGATCGGCAAACTCCTCTTGTGTGATTAACTGCCTCTGAAACCCCACAGGAGGGTCAGCTGTGAGTCGGTTCCAAGTCTACACAACAACAATGCTAACCAGGTTTCAGTGGGACTTCCAGACTTAGATGGACTAGGAAAGGGGACCCGGTGGTCTCCTTGAGGCAGATGAACCAGTGGACGTCCTGTGGATGACAGCAACCTGCCGACCCCTTTACGAGCATCCTACCACATGCTGGGTGGTGCCACCCTGACGGTTTCCAGCAACGTCTACACAGGGACTGGAGGCAGCACCGGATGAGTTAGTTTACCATGACTGTTGTGGGCATTAAGATGACTTTTCTGTTTCCTAGAAATGAAAGCAAAGAAACAGATTATACTAGTGATAGCGGTTTTAAGAGTAGAAATAATAATTGTTGCTATTATGTGCCATCAAGTCGCCTGCAACTCATAGTGATCCTGTGTTCAACATCTAAACCCTGCTCTATCCTGTGCCAATCTTATTGTCTCCAACATGCCTACCCCCATTACCCCAGTCACTGAATCAATCCACCTCATAGAGGGCCTTTTTCTCCTGCGCTGTCCCTCCACCCTCCCAAGCATGATGTCCCTCTCCAAGGGACTTATCCCTCCTTGCAACATGTCCAAAGTATGTCAGACGAAGCCTCAGAATCCTTGCCTCCAAGGAGCAGCCTGGCTTCACTCTCTCCAGGCTGAACCTGTTCATTTTCTTAGCAGCCCTTGGTACGTTCAATACTCTTCTCCAGCACCACAGCTCAAAAGCTCTCCTTCTGTCCTCCCTAGTCATTGTCCAATAATAGTAGTAGTAGTAGTAGTAGTAGTAGTAGTAGTAGTAGTAGTAGTAGTAGTAGTAGTAGTAGTAGTAGTAGTGGTAGTGGTAGTAATAATAATACTAGCAGCTGGAGTGTTGATTGAGCACAGTGCAGGGCAGGGCTGACCACTCCACGTGCTATGTTGTTTATGTTATGTATCTTATGTTGTTTATCATAATCGACAATCTGGCCCCTCGAGCTGGCTCTGTGCAGTGGTTAGCACCAGGTTCTGGGAGTCCTGCCTGGGTTTGCTCCTCGTTGACATTTATAAGCAGCGATGTGGAGCAAGTCATCCAGCCTTCTGGTAACTAACGCCGTGTGACATCGGCCTCCTGGTCACCGCCCGGACCCGCTCCACTGGGTGTCCTGTAAACATGGGAGCATGCTCATCTCCCACCTCAGCACTCCCTCTCCCTTCAGACCTTTGCCAGGGGGATTCCCTCTTCCCGCCCAGGCCCGCACCCCACTGTCATCTTTCTCGCGTGTCTTCCCTGCCCCACGTCCTGCTGAGATCTGCATGTCTTTTGGATCTCTCCTTTTTCTCCATCTCTCTCCCCAGACACATCCTCTGAGGCTCTGCCTCTGCATCATACTCTCCATGAAGGAACTTCTCTCACCAGCCCTCGTAGGCAGCCGGTCCTCGCCACCTCCGTCCCGGCTCATCCAGGGTTCTCAGCACTTCCAAAGGTTTCTTTGGAAAGCCTCCTTCCTGAACGTAAACACCAAGACCCTCAGTGTTCAGGCCACCACCTGCTCCTGCTGCCCCACCCCTGTCCCCTGAGGTATACCGAGGCCCACTGGACCCCACTAATGTCATCTTCAGACCCCTCTGTCTTCAGAGCTTTCTATGCTGCTGAGACCCCCTGCCTCACCAGACTCTAGGGCCCCTTTCCTACTACCCACGTCCACTCGTCTACACCCCAGCTGGCTCTGTAGCCTCGCTGTGTCCCCACGACCCTGACACTGTATCTTCACCGGGTATTCTGATTGCCCATTGGTTGTCTTTTTTTCCCTGACCGACATCCAGAATCCTGAAAGACTTGTCCTTATTAGCTGTCCTCAGCTCAGTGTCGGAATCTTGACAATCACATGTGTAATGCAAGGAACGCCACCTGGTCCAGCATCTTCCCTGTGACCCGCTGAGGGTCAAGCTATTGTGGTCCACTGTTTCCTTTTTTTGTTTCTTTAACTTCTTACTGTGACATGAGTGTAAGTTTACAGAGCAACTTGGTTTTCCATTCAACTGTTCATACCCAATCACAGGGGTTTTTAGAGCTGATTTTTTTTTAAAAAGTTTTAATATTTATTGATTGATTGATTTAAATGAATGAATGTGTGTGCCGTCAAATTGGATCTGACTGGTACATGAGGCGATTGTTCTCCTTCTTCAGCAGAGCATCTGGTGGATTTGAACCATGCACCTCTGGGATTGCAGTACAGTTTCCTGCCACTAGGCCACAAGAGCTCCCCGAGAGCTGATTTTTTAAAACTTATTTTATTATTTTTTTGTGTGTGTACCGTCAAATAGGATCTGACTGGTACAGGAGGAGACTGTCCCTCCTTCTCCAGCAGAGCATCTGGTGGATTTGAACCGCATACCTCTGGGACTGCAGTGCAGCTTCTTGCCACTAGGCCACCAGAGCTCCCTAGAACTGATTTTTGTAAATGGATCGCCAGGCCTTTCTTCCTGGTCTTGGTCTAGAAGCTCCACCTAATCTTGTTCAGCCTGGCAGTCTCCACTACACGAGTCTCCACCATCAGACAGCAGCTGCACCTGAAGGGAGCCTAGCTTTCCCACCCGTGAGGGAGAGGCGCTACCGTTGAACCACGAGTGTCTTCACTAATACCCTCTCCTTCTGTGCCCCCATCACCGTCTCATGCCTCGCGTGGCCTCCGTGCTCGATAAGTGTTTAATGACTGCAGTGCATGAATAAATTAGTGAATATCCGTCAGTACCATGAGCAATATATTAAAATACCATTTTACAAGAGACATTCAAATAATGACTTTTTCAACCTTTCCCACAAGTTGTGAAATGGACAGGGCGGGCGGCAGGGGTCCCTCCCGGGGTCCTTCCCATTTCATGGGAGAGAGAGCTGGGTCTCATGAAGGCAGGGGGCTCTGAGAGGAAGTGGCCGGGACGGGCTTGGAACCCGTTCTTTGCTGGGTGGTCTTGTGAGTCTTCCCGAGCCTCCAGTTTGTCCTGCCCTTGTGAACATGCCTTTGGATTTCCCCTGGCAGCAACACGGAAGCGTGTACTGGAAAGCTGGGGCCAGCCGCACACTGGCGAGCCTGTCACCAGACCTCCTGTTACGCCAGCAGCTGGAGGTAACTGTCCGTTTGTGCGGGTTTGGGGACCTCTGCAGGGGAGACGTCCCTGTGGCAAGGGGAGGAGGGGCCCACACCCTGCATGCCCTGGAGTTTTGGATTTTTCGATGCGCTGTGTGGCCGGCCCTGTGAACTTGGTCATTCCTGCCTTCCACGATGGTGTCTGGTCATCCTTGTCACACAGCCGCTCCCAGCACCATGCCAGGTCCCTTCCCCACCAGGACACCTTCCCTCGGTGAAGATGATGGATCCAGAGATGCTGCTGAGAAGTCAGGCCATCAGCTCTCCTGCACGTGGTCCTGGCAAAGCCTGCACTGGCTGCAGCTGTCCCCCTCCGGGGCCACGTTCTGAGCGGCTTGCACTGCTGCAGTGCCCTCATCAGTCTTCCTCCTTTGGCTTTCTGGGAGCAGCCCTGTGGTCCAGGTTGTGGGGACTAGGACTTGTCTGTGGTTCCTGAGGCCCCACAGGCAGGAGACACCTGCACCTGCTGAATGGAGGTGACTGCAGAGTTGGCCGACAGAACTCCAGCCCCAGTCTCCTCCTCTGTTCCAGGCCTGCTTCTCCGTCGGCGACTCTCCCGTGTGGATGGACTCAAGCAGCACAGAGCAGTGCCGCCAGCTCGAGGCCGCCACAGGGGGCGCGCAGGCCCTCAGCCGCCTCACGGGGTCCCGCGCCTACGAGGTGGGCAGTGCTGGGCTGGGCTGGGTGGTGGCTAGGTGGGGTTCTGCCAAGGCCATGCTGACCCCCTGTGCTAATTGGGGAGCTAGGGCCCCTTGTGTGTGCTCCCACATCAAAGCTTAGGTGTGAACGTGATGAGGGTGATTATGGGAAACTGATGTCCTCATCTACAACCCAGGAATAAAAGCAGGACTTCTCTTTGAGATTAGACGGAAGCTGATCGGAACCAGTACATCTAAGCCCTGCAGCCAATACTTAGCCACGTACAAAGTAGGGAGGGAGCCAAAGCTCTTTCCAGCTCTTCCAGAAATGGCCAGATTGGGGCCTGCTGCCCTCACTGGAGCAAAGGTTTTAGGGACAGGAACAACCCTTCTTAGACACTTGCCATTCAGATATTCTGACAACAGGTTGCCCATGCTCCGTGGGACTTTTGATGTCTGACTTTATAATACAGTTGTGGAGATTGCCAGACCTTCCTACTGAGGTACTTCTGGGTGTGCTTGAACCTCTAGCCTTCCAATTAGCAGCCAAGGATGTTAACCATTCAGAGCCTCCCAGCCTTACCCAGGCCACATGGAATAAAAAGAGTGTGGGTGCAGAAAAATGCGTTGAGTCCCAGCACGGGCGCCCTTGGTTAGGATGGTAATCATGCGAGGTAAAGGGGAAAGGTTGTTTACTAAGAACTGTCAGATCTAAGCCTTTCTGTGCGGGGAGGTCTGAGGAGTGACCACAGCTGTACCCCAGAGCCCATGAGTGCCTATTGAGTACCTGAGTGTTAGATGACCAGCAACATGGACTCAGAGCCCACAGTCCAATGCCTTAGATTACCAGTAGATGTCAGGCATTTTCAGATTTGTTAAAAAATCTATATATGTTGTTTGTTATTTACCATCGAGTTGTTGTTATGTGCCATCAAGTTGATTGTGACTCATAGCGGCCCTATGTACAACGGCCCTAAACCCTGCTCTATCCTCTGCCAGTCGCACTGCCCCTGACACACCCATCCCGATTACCCCAGTCACTGAATCAATCCACCTCACAGAGGGTCTTCCTCTCCTGCTCTGTCCCTCCACCCTCCCAAGCATGATGTCCCTCTCCAAGGACCGGTCTCTCCTTACAACATGTCCAAAGTATGTCAGACGAAGCCCCAGAATCCTTGCCTCCAAGGAGCAGCCTGGTTTAACCCTCTCCGGGATGAATCGAGTAAACAACAAAAATTTCTCTGTATGTATATATACATATATACACACATATGCATGGAATCCACTTCCTAAATAACATGCCTCCAGAAACCCTATGAACTGTGATAAATGTTGATAGTTGTAGAGGGGCTTCAGGCCTTTTGTTCATAGGGTCGCTATCAGTCGTTCTGGACTCGAAGGCAATCAATAACAACAACATCACACACATATATACATACACACATATCTACATACATGTATATATATATATATACATACACATATATATACATACATGTATATATATAAAAGCTCTGGTGACTTAGCGGTAAGAAGCTGGGCCGCAGTCACAAAGGCAAGCAGTTCGAATCCACCAGCTGCTCTGTAGAAGAAAGATGGGCAATCTCCTCCCGTATGATTAACTGCCTCTGAAAACCTGCTGAAGAATCAGCTATAGGTTGGTTCCAACTTGATGGCACACGCCAACAAATACTATGTGTATATGTATGTATGTATGTATGTATATATATATATGTATATATGTATATATGTATATGTATGTATGTATATATATATATTTATATTTTTTCTTTATAAAGCTAGTTTAATAGTAATTAATACCAGGAGTATTGCCACACGAAGCTCACCTTACAGAGTCTATCGTTCCTGCTGTGAAGAATTTGGATTTCTCAGAATTTGCTCTCCTTTTCCAGCGTTTCACGGGAAACCAGATCGCAAAGATTTACCAGCAGAACCCTGAGGCCTACTCCCACACAGAGGTGCGTTACATGTTCACAGATGCGTCTTTTTCATCACGGTAAGAATGTGTGTGACGGAAGTCCTGCCTTTTAGCAGTCTGTACGCGTTGTTCTGTGGCAGTAATTGCATTCTGCGTGTTGTGCACCTGCCCTCGCTGTCTTCTGAATTATTCCACCGTTAACGCAAATGCAGTGCCTCCAAGAGTAACTTCATCTCCCCACCACCCCCGCTGGTTACCGCTAACAAGCCTCCTCCAGCTTCTGTTTGCCTGTTTCGTACAAGGATGTTGGGTGTGACATTTGCCCTGAATGACTGGTTGCTTTCACGCCACACAATTCATCATTCATATTTCATTGGCAGCCACAGTTGAATTTTCTTTTCTAATACTTGCCTTTAGCGTACATCCTTTGGTTGTCTAGTATATTCAGTTTCCTCTTCTTTTTTTCTTCCTCCTGGCAATTGGCGGTTCCCAAAGTTGAGGGAAAAAATGGAGTGAGAGACAGAGAAGCCAGAGGTTCTCATGGCAGGTGGTGGTGGCGGTATCAGCCTGTCCACACAGTGCCCTCTCTGGTCAGACAGGATGGCCACCACACACTTGTTGTCATGGGAGAGGGCAGTGTTTTGTTTGGAAGTAAGTAAAGCTGGACTTTCATGTGTCCTGTGTCTGTGTCCCGGGAATCCAGACCCATTCCTAGAATCACAATTGATAATAGGCAGCGTGGAAAGCTGCCCGAGAAGCAGCTGGATGCCCTGGCTGGTGGCTTTCCCCTCTGCGTAATCCCAATGTGGTCAGCTCATTTGAACGCCAAGTGGCTTTTTCAGGTCTTGGGAATTAGCACGCACTTGCCTTTGTAAAGACCCAAGGTTTCCACACATCGGTAGAGTCAGCCATCAACGTGGGCGTTGAGTGGGAAGATGAGAAACCTCCCCACGTTGTGAAGATGAACAAGGTGGACTTGGCAGGGGAATGAGACGATGACATTCTCTCCACTGAGCGAGTGCCCGTGACTCCCGCGTGGAAACAGAGACCCGTCCGCTGACATTTAAAATCCATTATCGTTCTTTCCAGTGAGCTGTGGTAGCCTAGTGGAAAGGAGCCACACCGCCACCCTGAAGCCACACAGTTCAAATCCACCAGCCGCTCTGTGGGAGAAAGATAAACAGTCAACTCCTGTGTGATTTCCTGCCTTTGAAGAACCTCCTGGAGGGTCAGCCACGGGTTGGCTCCGACCCGAGAGTACACAGCAACAGCTTAGTACACAGTCAGAGGGTCGGTGGCAATGAGAGAAAGCCCTCAGTGAGTTGGATTGACAGAACAGCTACAACAGTGGTTCTCACATGACCGTGATTCTGATCTGTCTGTGAAAGGACGTCTTGTTGTGTGCAGATGACCTGGAACCGACCCATAGCTGACCCTCCATCGGGTTTCCAGTCAGTAAATTGCACAGAAGAAGACGGCCCATCCTTCTCCCGCAGAGCAGAGGGTGGATTTGAACCGTGTGCCTTTGGGTTTAACCATGATTATGAAGGTGGCACGGGACCAGGAGCTTCCTCTGTTATGTTTAATGCCACCTTGGGTCAAAGCATCAGCTCCTGTTTGGGTCTGTGGCTTGTGAGGCCCCAGCTTATTAGGGATCCGCCCCCCACTCCCAAGTGTCCCTGCTAGTTCTGAGCCCTGTGAACACACATTCCACTTCCCGGAAGCCAGATGTGAAGACCCAGGAAGTGGAGGGAGGGAATTGGGACAGCACATTCCCAGTGTGGGGCTTCCAGGTGGGAATCCTGCTTCCTGAAGCGTGGCTTTTCCACAGAGCTGCTTCGTGCTGGTGGTTTTGGAGGTTCAGAGAGTGAGGTGCTGTCCTGCAGAATAGTTTGTTGGAATTTCACACTTTTCCTTTCTTTGGAGGCTGGTGAAGATACATACATATGCACCGTTTTAGCGGTTTCTTCATTTAACCCAGTGACACTGATTACATTTTCAAGTTACGATACTTACTCGTTCTCTCATCTGTCTTCATTTTTATTTCACCATCATTGACTTGATGTCCCTTTAGCTTCTCACCCGGCCTTTTGAATTACTTTTGTTGACTGGATTTCACATAGGTAATTCTTTAAAAGCACAATGCTATAAAAATAAAAAGTGGGAAAGGTGGAAGGTCAGAAAAAAAGAGGAAGACCTCCAACAGGACATTGGCACAGTGACTGTAACAATGGACTCAGGTGCGTCAAAGATGAAGAAAAGGCCAGAGGATGGGCCAAGTTCAGATCTCTTGTTCACAGAGTCGCTATGAGGCATAGTGGACTCGATGGTACCTAACAACCACAACATACACATATACACACACACAAAGGGAGAACCATTACAGAGACTTCTTTGACTCAGCCAAGCAATTCACAGGATTGACTGACTATGTTCAAAGGCTGAAGACTACCGTCTCATGGGACAACTCACGTCAAATGTCAGAACATTTTTATTGTTGAGAACCAGCGAATCGGAATTGACCCACAGCTGACCCTCCAGTGAATTTTCAGAGGCAGTGAATCACACTGGAGGAGATTGCCCATCTTTCTGTCACAGAGCAGTGGGTGGATTTGAACTGTGCACCTTTGGCGTGGCAGCACAACTCCTTATCACTAAGCCACCAGAGATCCCTTGTCAGAACATAGTTCATAAAATTCTACCCACAACTTCAGTGAGTCTGGGGTCTTAAAAGCTTGTGAGCAGCTGTGTGAGGTTATATTTAACTGTTAGTCTCTGCTTGTCTGGGGTAGAAGTGAATGAAGGCTACTGAAGACCTACAGGAAAGACAGTACGGATGAGCCGGGGGCATCTAATCTGAGTCCAGAAGAACTGGGTGGTACACAGCTCCCACTTGCAGCTTTTCTGACCAGAGACACAACAGAGTTCCTGAATAGAATGAGAGAAGAGATACAACTAAACTTAGATTCCTATAAAGAACAAGACTGTTTCCCTAAGAGGTCCTCTGAACTTGACACTGAAACCATTCCTGAAGATCACCTTTCAGCCAAATAGTAGATTGGTTTGTAAAAGAAGCAATACACCCATGAGCAGTGTGTCCCCTGAATAGTCAATTTATGTGAGAACATATGGTCCACATTTACCCAGAAGGAAAATGGGAAGGAAATAGGACAGAGTGGAGATAGTAAGAATGTTGATTCACTGTGAAAACTGTCCCGTGTTGCAAACAGTTTGTATCAAAGTTATTCAACAGGAACCTGATTTGCTGTGTACATTTTCCCCTTAAAGCACAATAATATTTAAAAAAAAAATCAGTAGTGTCCTGGAAAGGGTTAAACCGGGTGGCTCCTTGGAGGCAAGGATTCTGAGGCTCCGTCTAACATACTTTGGACATGTGAGGAGAGACCGATCCTTGGAGAGGGACATCATGCTTGGGAGGGTGGAGGGACGGTGCAGGAGAGAAAGGCCCTCTATGAGGTGGATTGATTCAGTGACTGGGATAATTGGGATGGGAGTGTCAGAGACGGTGCGATTGGCACAGGACAGAGCGGAGTTTAGGGCTGTTGTACATAGGGTCGCTATGAGTCGCAAGCGACTCGACGGCACATAACAACAACAACAATAATTAGTAAACTAGTAATTAACTGACAAAAAGGAAACAAAACAGTGTTCAAGGTGGGGATACTTTGTTCATTAAGATAAACTTTTTTTGGCTCAAAGAAGTCTTCAAAGAATAGCTTTGGTTTAAAATATAAAAATTACCTGAAGTGCAACAATGAATGAATGGAAATCCAAAGTGTCTGTAAATTTTCATTAAAATTAATAATAATAAAAATTTTAAAAATAAATTTTAAAAATTATCGGAAGGCAATTATTTCAGAGTACTTCCACCTTCCTTGGCTCTACTCTAGAAAGTCTGGAGTCTGTGGAGAATTTAAAAATTCTGTTCTGCATTCCTCTCCCTTTTGATCAAGATTTTTCTATAGGAATTCTAGCTTTTCTTAACTAGACGCTCAGTCATGTCTATTGCTTAGACATCTTGCTCCAAGTTTCCATTTCCCTCCATAATTTACAAGTCTTCTTGTGCTGTGTATGTGCTGGGAATATTAAGTGGCTTAGAGTGTGTGAAACGGAGTCGTGTCTCACGGTCTATTTTTTTACAGAGGATCTCTTTGGTCAGTAGCTTCGCTGCATCCCTGTTCCTTGGTTCCTACTGCCCTATCGACTACAGTGATGGTAAGTCCTCGGGGCGGCTTCCAACCTGTTCCATGTACACGCGGCATATGGACATGCAGGCAGCGTGAGTTCTAGCCAGCCTGGGCGAGTGCCAGTCTTTCATCTTATCATCAATAGCCAGCTCGGGAGTGTATTCATTGTTTTTTACTTCCTAACAAGGGACCCCCCCCCTTTACTTAACAGCTAAAGATCAGATTTATTCTCAGGTAGTTCTTTGGCCAGGAACCCGAGAACAGCTTAGCTGAGTGCTTCTGGCTCTGAATCTCTCATGAAGTTGCAGCCAACCTGCAGGTCGCGGGTCTGAAAGCTTGACTGAAGCTGGAGGGTTCATTTCCAAGGTTATTTCACATGAGCATGAGCAGGAGGTCATTGCTTGCTTGTGGACTACTCTGTAAAACTACTATATGCCAAGGGAGCTCTGGTGGTCTAGTGGCAAGACACTGCACTGCAATCGCAGAGGTACACGGTTCAAATCCACCAGAAGCTCTGCTGGAGAAGGAGGGGGCAATCTCCTCCTGTACCAGTCAGATCTGATTTGACGGTACACATAAAAATAAAATAAAAAAAAACAAACAACAAAAAACCTACTATATGCCATCGCAGCTGAAGTCCCCTGAAGCTTGAGGTGAGAAAGGGTTGCCAAACAGAAGGTGCACAATCTTTTTATAATCTACTTTTGAATGTGACATAATATTACTTCTGTTTTATTTTATTGGTTACATTGGCCATCCCTGGTCCAGGAGAAGTTAGAGTTTGATTACCAGCAAGTGGATCAAGGATTACTACCTTGGAGGCTGGTTATGATACGAGGTTGTTTATTTTGTAAGTTTTTGTTCATTTTTGGGGGAACACTTCATGATAGCTGGAAGCTCTGGAATAAAGATTCTGACAAAAATAAATGCAAATTGTGAGAATGAAGAGTTTCCAGAAGCTGGGAGGAGGTTGTTGAGAGAACTCTCGGGCGAGACTAGATGGAAAGGAGCATGGACAGACGATTGTCGGAGAACAGAACACGAGCCCGGAGCTGTGAAAGGAGCCTCAGAAAGCAGCTCTCTGAGCTTCTCAGGAATTCATCTGAAGGTTTTAGAATGTTGATGTGTGCCAGAAATTATTCTAGTTTTTAGGAAGAAAAGTAAATCATTACGGTGTGGTCCCCCAGCTTCCCTTACAATCAAGAGGAACAGACAAGGTTCCATATGGCCAACTCCATTGGACTCAGATGTCAGGCCTCTCAACTGGGAACGGCCCGAGTGTCTACCTGTGTTCTCCACATGACCCCGGGCTCGTGAAGGACTTCTAGAGAAGGTCACTCAGATATTCTGGAGGTTCATGTTCTCCGACCTTCGCCAGGCCCTCCCCACTGCTCCCCTCATTCTAACTGAGAGATCACCTCCTTTACCTCACCCCTCACCTGGACCCGTGGCATCATCAGCATCCCAGCCCATCTTGTCTCCCTCTGCTTTGCCTGATGGAGGAAGGAGGTCCCGCCATCTGTTCTCTTGTTTCCTCATTCTCATCCTCAGGATGCCAAGACTGGATTATTTTAGGAAAGCCCTAGGGATCTGGTCTCACTGGCGAGCATGAGGGGGAGTGGAGAATTCCTAGGAAACCACCCCTGCGGGTGTGTGAGCGTTCCTGGAAAAGCTGGATGTGTTGGGGACTCCTGGAGGGCTGCCCCTGACTTCACACACACTCTGAGCCACAGGACACACTGGTACATGTCCTGCTCTCTTGCCAGGACGCACAGCAGCAGTTCTCTGGGCTCACAATGGTTAGACAAGGCCGTGACGATATTTGGATGAGGTAGTGGTGCTGCTGCCAGTGTATTTGTTTGCAAGGACCTGCTGGCTTATGGTTCCCAAAGGACCCAGGCATATTTCAAAGATTCTGTTAAGGGAAACTAGGCTGGCCCTTGGAGGCAAGGATTCTGAAGCTCCATCTGACATACTTTGGGCATGTTGGAAGGAGGGACCGATCCTTGGAGAGGGACATCAAGCTTGGAATGGCAGAGGGACAGCACAGGAGAGGAAGACCCTCGATGAGATGGATTGATTCCGTCGCTGGGGTGATAGGGTGAGTGTGTCAGAGACGATGAGGCTGGCACAGGTTCGAGCAGGGTTCAGAACTGTTGTACATAGAGTCACTGAGAGTCACAAGTGAGTCGACAGAACTTAACCCAACAACACAACATCCTTCTTATATTTTTTTGTAATTTTTTATTTATTTTGTGTGTGTGTGTGTACTGTCAAATCGGATCTTACTGGTACAGGAAGAGATTGTTCCTCCTTCTCCATCAGAGCATCTGGTGGATTTGAAACAATACAACATCCTTCTTAAAGAGCTGTTTCTGGTTTTTGTTTCCTCCTCTCCTCAGGTTCTGGGATGAATTTGCTGCAGATACATGACAAAGCCTGGTCCCCGGCTTGCCTCCACGCCTGTGCCCCTCACTTAGAGGACAAGCTTGGCCAGCCGGTGCCGTCACATGCGGTCGTGGTAGGTGACCTTGTCGGGAACGTGGCTCATTTGAGAGCCAGCGGCTCCTGGGGAAGCGATTTGGTACCGTACAGGGTCTTCTGTTCACACACAAGCACACTCATCTAATGGTTAGTATAAGATAATGTATCTGACATAGGTCACGTTCAAGTGTTGGGTCAGTGCCTTTCCCAGCTACACACACAGATAGTTGCCTCACAACTAGGACCGGACCAGGAGAGGCTTTGGAAAAGTTCTACTAGAAATTTATTCTGAATTCAAGCTCATTACCGTCGAGTCAGAACTGACTCAATTGCTGACCCTTCATTGAACTTCCAAGGCTGTAAATCGCACAGGAGATGTCCCGTCCTTCTTCTGAGGAGTAGCTGGTAGATTCCAACCACCTACCTTTGGGTTGACAGGGCAGCTCTCTAGCCGCTAGGCCACCAGGGCTCCCTTTGTAAAGATTATTGTTGTTAGGTGCTATCAAGTCGCGTACAGTTCACAGCAACCCTGTGAGGAACAGATCTGAACCCTGTCCTGCCCTGTGCCGTCCTCATTGTCTTTGATGTACTTGAGTCCATTGCTGCAGTCACTCTGTCAGTCTGTCTCGTTGAGGGTCTTCCTCTCTTTCATTGCCCCTCTCTCTTTTCCAAGCAAGATGCCCCCCTCCAAGGACTAGCCTCTCCTGACACCAGGCCCAGAGTATATGAGATGAAACTTTACCAGCCTTGCCTCTAGGGAGCACGCTGGCTGCACCTTCTCTAAGACATCTGTTTGTTCTTTCGGCCGTCCGTGGGATGTTCAGAACTCTTCTCCAGCACCAGAACTCAAAGGTCTTCTGTCATCCTGATTCATCGTCCCGCTCTAATGGGGAGAGGGGGAAAGTTGTCATTTCTGAGTGATTCTGCACTTTGGGGTGTGGGGGGGAACACCTAACAGAGAATCCTAAAATTCTAACGCTGGGACCATCAGTGCAGTCTGAAGCCAGCAGTCCTGAGGAAATAATAAGGCAAACAGCGAGCTTGGTGGTTGGCGATTGTGTGTTGTTGAGTCAGAACTGACCCACAGCTGACTCTCCAGTGGGTTTTCAGAAGCAGTTAATCACATGAGGGGGGGTTGCCCGTCCTTCTCTCTCAGAGCAGCTGGTGGATTCAAACCATGCACCTCTGGGTTGCTGACGCAACTCTTTACCCCTGGGCCAGAGGGTAACGATTAGAAACCTAGTACCTGAGGCCGAGCTCCCAGGGGCCCAATCTTGACCCAGCTCCTATCTACTATGTGACAACGACCATCTCCTCAGTTTATCTGGAAGAATGAGATTAATACTGTATGTCACAGGGCTGCTTTATAGGTGAAATGAGTTAGTTCATTTAAATCCTTAAGATCATGCCTGGTGCCAAGAATCATTTTAAGTATCTGTCACTGTCTGAGTGGTATTCTCATTTGGAATGGACCCTGGCTAGGAATGCCCTGACACTCCTGTGTTGGCTGTCCAGTTCTTGGCTGTCCTGTGGGGAGGATGGAATAGAAAGAAGCTGGGCCTGGGCCTTGGGGTCCTTGGGTGGGTAACACATTCATGTGGGACGTGAAGGTTCATGAGCAAAGGAGGGAAAAGTAGGACTTTTAACTTGGAAAGAGATGAGGCGGGGGACAGAGTGGGCTCCAAGGAACACTGGGCCTGCAGGGCAGCCCTCCTGGGGTTTCTGGTAGAAGACACAGTCTTGGCCCCAGAAATGCTTTCCTTCTTCTGTGAGTGATGCTGACACGCTGCACACCGCCTTTGACACCGTAAGGCCGAATCTCCAAGATCCAGCCCACAGCTTCCAAAATACGGCTGTTGGTGTGTGTGGTCAAGTCCTGCCGCCTGGAAGCCAGACACCGATGTGGTCAGGAAGACCAGGGCCAGCAGAGTGCACTGGACGTTGTCCATGCCTGACTTTCAGCTGAGTCTGAGGATGAGAGCAAAGCTGGGTGTTGACAGCAGCATTTAGGAGGCTTATGTGAAGTATGTGGGGCGGAAGCTGACGTGGAGACTAGCAGCTTTAAAGGAAGGAGAGACACTGATTCTGAGAAATGCCTTTTCATTTGTGATACGGTTGTTGTTCTTGTGTGCCACTGAGCTGGAACCAACCCCCAGCTGACCCTCCAGCATGTCTTCAGAGGCATTTAGTTACATGGGAAGAGATGGCCCACTCCCACCGAACACCCAGTGGATTTGAACTGTGTACCTTTGAGGTGGCTGTGCAATTCCTTATCACTCCAGACACCACGCAATCAGGGGAAATAAACAAAATCTTTCTTCTTTTTTTTAAACGTGTATAGGAAAGTTGAGCGGCAGTTGCAGGTATAATGCTGACCTGAACTGTCAGAGTCTCTCCAGGATGTTTTTGCAAGCAGTTCGAGATCCAAAAAATCTTTCTTTTCTGTCATCTTTTTTGAAGGTAGTGCCTTGATAGCATTCTCTTGTTAGGAAGATACCTGGAGAAGTGTTAGGTCAGCTATCTCTTACGTAACCTTTGTGGCTTGACCCCGGTGTTACCTGGCAGTACCTGTCTTCACTGCAGGATGTTTTCTCACTTTTTTTAAAAAAAAAAATTTAAATGTTATTATTTTTGAGTGTGTACTGTCAAATCGGATCTGACTGGTAAAGGAGGAGATTGTCTCTCCTTCTCCAGCAGAGCATCTGGTGGATTCAATCCACACTCCTCTGGGATTGCAGTGCATCGTCTTGCCACTAGGCCACCTGAGCTCCCTTGTCTTCTCACTCTTTACTTTGGCCTTTTCTGCCCCTGTATCACCTCTGAGAAAACCTGGAGGTGCAGGAAGTTCACCCGTCAGGGGACAGCCTTCACCTTTCAGGGGTAGGAACCTGGGATGAAAACCTTTCCCGGGCCCTGTGGACGGCTGTGAGACGCCAGCTCCTCGAAGGCTTCAGTGGACCGAGCCACAGTTGCCCGCCGCCGTGACCGCCTCTCTGACAGCCCATCGGCTGACTTTCCTCTGGTCCCTGGCTCCCTCCTCCTGGTTTCCCACTCCTGTTTCTTTGAGCTTATTTCTACGACAAACCACCTGGATGCAAACCCTCTTCTTCAGCTGTTTTCTGTGGCCAAGAGGCCGTTTCCCAGACAATGGCTGTTCTGACGCAAGTCTGACGTTTTGCTGAATGGAGCAAGATTTCCTTTTCAGACGCCAGGAAATCCATTCATCATTTACTATAAATGTTTGTCAGCTGTTGTTACCGAGTTCAGGGGTTGCACTGCCAACCCAATGGAATTCAGTTGGAATTCTTCAGCTGCCCCCCAGGAGAGAGATGGGCAGTCTCCTCCTGTGTGACTTATAGTCTCTGAAAGTTCTCTGGAAGGTCAGCTATGAGTGGGTTCCAACTTGACAGTACACAACAAGATAAAATTGGGGGGAATGTTTTACATTTATGACTATGCATTCCAAAATCATAGATCCAACTCCCAGCATCTCTCAGAGGGGCCCTGAACACTGTGCTTCTGGGTGAGGCCTGTCCCCACCCCTGCTGCCTCTTTTGGTTTGTTTTCTTGAGACCCTTAACCTCTGCACTTGAAACTTTGACGTCTGCACTTGTGTGCCCCCTGATTCACTGGTAGGTGTTGTGGGTGAGGCATTATGTGCTCCTGTGAGTTCGGTAACCCGTGTTCTGTGATTTATTTATTTGGAGCTTACAAAGCGTGTACGAGTCAGGGATAGCTAGGTTGAATCTCAGCATCACATGGTCTTCACAGCTGTGGGCTGCCGGAGCCTGAGATTGACCTCGTGTCTGTGGTTCCAGGCCTTGCTGGCCTCTTCTGGCATTTTGTACACTGGTGGGACGTCCTGGGTGGGTGACAGAAAATGATGTGACTGGAGGGTCCGGGAAAGGTCCCTTCAGCTCCAGTGCCCTGGGGCCTGCGGTGTGAGGTGAGGCTCTGAGCCCTGACTTAGACCGAGAGCCGCTGGGTTCTTTTCCTGCAGGGAGCCATCTCTCCGTACTACGTCCAGCGCTATGGATTTCACCCAGAATGCAAAGTGGTGGCCTTCACCGGGGACAACCCAGGTGAGTGCTTGAGAGGATTTCTCCCTCCAAGTCGCCTGACTTGTTCTGAGCTGGACATTTGAGAATTCTGGTCTGGCCTCTTGGTGACGCCTTCTGTGGTGGTGGGACTCAATCCCTCCCCAGCCTGAAACCTAACCCCTGGTACCTGCCCCCGCTTTTCCCTTAACTCTGCCCTCAGGAGCACAGCCACCTGCCCCCCTCCAAGTGAAAACTGATTGAGTGATTAAACCAGGAGGCCATGCCCACCTACCTCCAACCTGCCCATTCTGTTCCAAGTCACCTATCTCAGTTCTCACTGCCCTTCCTCTCTGGCATGAGTTTTGGTCTCTGCCATGGTATTTGAGCTACAGGTGTGATTTGTTCCTTGTAACCGCAGGTCTTCCGCCTCCTCTTTTTTCTCTCTGTGGCTTCCTGAGACCCAGTTTTCAAGGAACCTTCTGGAGAAAGAGCAGAGTAAACCTCACTGAACAATAGCCTCTTTCTTAATAAGCCACCAAGTAAAGATAGCAAAATTTAGTGAATAAAAAAAGGTTTTTTTGTAAAAGTGGGGGGGCGGGAGGAAAGGAACTGTGCTAAATTTTAAATTTCACAGACACACATATTGTTAGGTGTCACTGAGGTGACCACAACCCACAGGGACACAATTTCATCTTGCTTGGATCCACAGTTAACACCCTCGGTAGCAGCATCAGTAGATCAGGAGACATCTTGCACTGGGAAAGTCTGCACTCAGGGGCCTCTCTGAATTATTGAGGAGCAATGATGTCAGTTTGAGGACTAAGGTGCATCTGATTCAGGCCATGATCTTTCTGATCACTCGCTATGCATCTGAGGGCTGGACAGTGAATAAGGATGACAGAATAAGACCCTTTGAGCTGTGGTGTTGGAAGAGAGCACTGAACATCCCATGGACTGACAAAAGAACAAACACATATGTCTTGGACAAAGTGCAACCAGAGTGCTCCAGAAGGCAAAGTGGATGATTTTTGTCTCACGTAACTTGGACCTGTTACTAGGAGAGGTTATTCCTTGGAGAAGACTGTCATGCTTGGGAAGGTGGAGGGGCAGCAAAAGAGAGGAGGACCCTCAGCCATGTGGTTGACAGAGTGACTGTAGCAATAATGGACACGTGTGTGTCAGAGATTGTGAGGATGGGCAGGGGACAGGAGAAAGTTCAGATTGGTTGTTCATAGGGTGGCTATGAATCGTACTTGACAGCACGCAGCAATGACCAAACAACAGCTGTTACATGGGAATCACAAAGACTGTGGCTCTGCTGAGTAATTCCCTGCTCTGCACAGCGTTGGGGCAGTGCCAGCAGCGTCAGGAGGCCTGCCCTGTGCTGCCCTTTCTTTGTGAGATAAGTTTCAGAGGTGAAATTCCTCAATTGAGGTTTCCTCAGAAGCACATTATTTTTATTATTTTCAATATCCATATGTACTTTATTATAGATCTGGGAGGACAGTGAGTTGGCCTCGAAAACTGCCTCTCAGAAGCACATTCTGAGTGAAAGTCATTGAGAGCACTTGAGAGGGTACCTTCCTCTCCATGTCTCTCTCTTCCTAAATGCATCCCGTCTCTCAGCATTTAGTGAGCAGCTTCAGTGTTTGGAAAGTCAGCTGTCAGGGACCTCTCCAGAGTATTGAAGAGCAACGACGTCATGCTGGAGACTGAGGTGCACCTGATCCGGGCTATAGTCTTCACAGTTGCATGCTGTGCATCGGAGAGCTGGACAGTGACTAGGGATGATAGATAATTGATGCCTTTGAATCAATTCTGTGGTGCTGGAGAAGAGTGTTGAATATACCATGGATTGCTGAGAGAACAAATAGGTTCATCCTGGAGAGGGTGAAGCCGGGCTGCTCCTTGGAGTCAAGTATTCTGAAGCTTCATCTGATACACTTTCGGCATGTCACAAGGAGGAATGGAGGGACATCCCAGGAGAGGAAGACCCTTGATGAGATGGATCGATTCAGTGATTGGGGTAATGGGGGTAGGTGTGTCAGAGGCAATGAGATTGGCACAGGATAGAGCAGGGTTTAGGGCTGTTGTACACAAGGTCGCTATGAGTTGCAAGTGACTCGATGGCACATAACAACAACAGGGAAGTTGGGCTTCCCTGGACAGCATCTCTCTCGGTCTCTCTCTCTCTCTCTCTCTCTCTCTCTCTGTCGCCCCCTACCTGTCATTGGAGAGGTTTGCATGTTGCTGTGAAGCTCAATGGGGAACTCTGGTGGCTTAGTGGTAAGAAATTGCACTGCCAACCAAAAGTATGTGGTTCAGATCCAGCAGCTGCTGTTACGGGAGAAAGAGGGATAATCGCCTCCTGTGAGGTTTACAGCATCTGAAAACCCGCTGGAGGGTCAGCTGTGGGTCAGTTCTGACGTGATGGTACAACAACGTCAACAGTGGTACTGGACAGGTTTCTGCAGAGCGCTCAGGCCAGGGCAGGCTAGGTAGAAATGTCTGTGCGATTTACCCCTGGCAGCGGGCTAATGAAAACGCTCCGGAGCTTAGCCCTCCGAGGACAGGCTGGTGCAGGCCTGGGCAGTATTTTGTTCCCGAGCTGAGGTCGCCATGGTCCATCCCCACTCAGTGCAGCTAAGAGCAGCCACATGCCTGCCGTTCGGCACGGGGTTATGTGGGTGAGCAGGACAGGAGGCGATGTCAGTGCGGGGCCTCACGTGGAGGACACACACTGTGACCGTGACCACAGCCCCTTCCTTGCTCACCCTGTCAGGGGCTGCTGAGGGCGCCAGGCTCACATCTGACCTTCCCCTTTCTCTGCCTTGCATGTCCTGCCATCCTCTCGGGGCCCCTCTTTCTCCTGGGACCCTTGACAGTGCGTGGAGGGTTGGAATCCCTTCAGAGAAGACGTTCTCCCATCCACACCAGCAGCCCTGGCCCCAGAGGACCTGTGCTCCCTTCTCTCAGGGCTTCTGACTGCTTGCCCTCCTCCCATGTTCCCTAGGGTGCTTGGCTGCAGGTAGGGGTGGGCACCCATCTGAAGGGTCTGTGACTTACTTCATCACTCCTGTGTGGACTCCAGCTAACCAAAGCCCCTCTCGTTCCTCAGCATCTCTGGCAGGCATGCAGCTGGCGGAAGGGGACATTGCGGTAAGGTGGCTTCTCCCCACACCCGTAGAGCCAGCTCCTTCTGCCCCGGGGGGTGAGGGGTGAGGGCCCTGAGTTTTAGCATCACCTTTGCCTCTCAGCAGAGGGTCTGCCAACCTCAAAATACAACTGAGGGCACAGGGAGACCAGGACCTGCACACATCCCCTTTCTTGGAAAGTTACTGCCCTTTGTCCCATGGCCAGTCTTGGGGACGCAGTGGCTGGAGGGTCACACCTTGGCCAAAAGCAGAACAATCTCCAGTGGACAAGAAAGACAGGACCTGTGTCTCCGGGGTCAGGTGGGGAAGTTTGAAGAACCGCTCAAATCCCAAAGGACAGTTTAGGTGAAAGTTCTGGGAAGTCAGCACACCGGCTCCACAGGCACTGACCCTCCACGAGTGCTGACCGTGGACGTGTCTGGAGTGGGAGGGTCAGAAGTGGTTGTTGGAGGAAGTGGCATCGAACCCAGGGCCTGTGGTATGAAGCACGGAGTGCTGGGCTGCGGTGGCAAACAGAACATCCAAGCTGAGGACCACCTTGTGGGCACATGGCGGGAGATGCCTGGTCCCCCTCAACCTGTGCCTCTCCCTCTCCAGGTCAGCCTGGGTACCAGTGACACCCTGTTCCTCTGGCTCCAGGAGCCCAGGCCCTCCCTGGAAGGGCACATCTTCTGCAACCCGGTGGACCCCCAGCACTACATGGCATTACTATGGTGGGTCTGGGCGTCGATAGGGAGGATGGAGGCACGGGTGGACCTGGCACCCTCCTGGGCATCTCTGATGTTTCCATAAGTCGGCTCTTGTTATCACGAAGGCCTCGGCATTTCCTGCTGATACCAGAGCTGGGTGGGAAATATCCGGAGCATGGAGTCTCCTGGTCCCAGGTTCAAATCCTAAACTTACCACCTATGCTCTATGTGGCCTTGAACCTACTCCCTTTAACATCCCTGAGTCACATGACCCTTGTCAGTTTTCTTCAGTGTTGCTATAACGTCTGACGCATGATAGACTCTTTGTTAGGGGCGTGTGGACACGTGCTTGCTGGTAGTTCTCCAGGAAGGGCACACATGCTCTGGTCTGACCACAGGCATTTGGACACTAGTCAGAGACCACTGAGGGGAAAGATTGTCAAGTTTCCCCAAACCACTGAGGAATGTGTCCGTGCCATCCACTATGCTGGGTTCCGTTGAGCCAGTTCTGGCTCCTGGTAATCCCAGGCGTGTCAGTGTAGGACTGTACACCGCAGGACTTCAGTTTGATATTCCAGAAGTAGATTTCCAGGCCGTTATTCCACTGTACCTCTGAGTGGACTTGAACTGCTGACCCTCCAGTTAGCAGCCTTGGTCCTTTGACCATTGCCCCATCCAAAGACTGTTAAAGCAAATCAGCTCCACTTACACAAGGAGTACAGAACCCCAGCTGTTCTCTCTACGTGGGGCTCTTTTGTGAGCTTCCTCTGAACCGAACCCGAGACAGGTGTGTATCCCAGGGACCTGTGCAGGGTCTGCTGCCGGAGGGAGGGAGGTTCCGGTACCTGTGTGTGCTGGCTGGAGGCCCTGGGCCGGCCCTGAACTGCAGCCCCTCTTCCTGGACCTCCTCACTGACTGATGACGGCATGATTCCTGCCATCGAGCCCTGAGTCCCTCAGAGCTGGTACTTCTGCTTCTGCAGCTTTAAAAACGGCTCCCTGATGAGAGAGAGGATCCGGGATGAGTCAGCCTTCTGTTCCTGGGACGAGTTCTCCAAGGCGCTGCGTACCACGGAGATGGGGAATGGCGGGAACCTGGGTAGGTGGTCGAGTGCTGCCGGCCTGCACCGGGCAGCAGCTGCCTCTGGAGAAGCAGGGCCTGGGGTCCAACAGGTGGAGGGGAGAGAATCATGTTTGTCTGTGTTACTTCTCCTCCTTGGACCTGACAAGCCAGCGTGGGACCCCAGGGCCCTGAGGAGGCTCTTTGCTGCCTCTCCGTATGGACTGTTAACCAGGTCACAGCTTCGTCTTCTCTCCCCTCAAAGCCCTGGTGAGAGCATCCGAGGTGGCAGCCAAAATACCTGCTCCTCCTGGTGAAGCCCGTTCACAGCTTCCTGCCCCAGAGTTCAAGTTGTGCTGGGAAAAGTGTCCAGCAGCCTTTGGGGAGGGAAGAGGTGGACTTGCCTCGATCAAGACCTGGCTGGTCTCTCGGGCGCTTCCTGACCTCAGCTGCCAAATGGGAGTAGAAAGTGTTTCCACGAAGAAAAATGACCTTAGGCCTTTCCTGTGTCCCCCCATCTTTTACGATACTAGTAACTCTAAGAAAAACTGAGAGCGTGCCAAGGTCTGGGGGCTCGAGGGAGCTAGGCCACCGGGGTGGGGGCCCTTCCCGGAGACTCTTGAAGGGCTCAGCGCTTGCTCCTGACCACTGTCAGCTCACCTCCCCCTGGCCTTGTTTCAGGTTTTTATTTTGATGTCATGGAGATCACCCCAGAAATTGTTGGGCGTCATAGGTTCAACGCAGAAGGCCAGGAGGTACGTTTGCGAGTTTTACCAGGGCTGAATTTTGGGTTTGTTTTTTTTAGTATGAAATGTAATAACAGTTGTGCCTCACATTATACTGATTTTAGAGACTTCATTCATACACAGACATTGTTTAACAGACATCAGTCTAACAGACATTTTTGATGGACCACAAGGGGTGCGTTCTTTTTCTTTTTATTATTTTTATTTTATTATTAATTTTATTATTTTTGTGTGTTTGTTCCGTCAAATTGGATCTGACTGGGACAGAAGGAGATTGTCCCTCCTTCTCAGCAGAGCATCTGGTGGATTTGAACCACGTACCTCTGGAATTGCAGTGCAGCTTCTTGCCACTAGGCCACCAGAGCTCAACAGGGGGTGCATTCTTGAAGTGCTGAGCCAGCAGCTCTAACACAGGCACCATCCTTTCTCTCAAAGGGAGAAGAGAAAGCTCAGAGCACAAAAAAGGTGAAAAAGGAAAACCCAGAACGTAGAAAGTATTAAGTCTCTTGGCCATCGTTTCGTGGCCAGTCCAACAACCATGACATCATGAGTTTCCTCTTGATCGAAGGGTTCTCGGGCCCAATGGAAGCACCGATTTCTGTTGAGCGCTGTTGGGTTTCAGGCACTGTGCCAAAGGGTTCCTCATTTACTTTTTAAAGCACCACCGTGAGGTAGGCGTTATTATCATCCCACTCTTCAGGTGGATAAATTGAGGCTTAGTGAGGTCTAGGACTTACCCAGGGTCACAAGGCCGGAGCTAATGGAGTGAGCCCAGACCCTGTCCTCTCAGGCTCTGAAGCTGTTCTCTTCTCCCCTGGCCACTGTAGGTCCACGACTGGACCTTTCACACGAGGGACCCAGTCAGTCTTTGCTGCTTTGAATGGAGTCTCTGATTTTCATTAGAGTCATTGTCACATTATGAGTTAGACCCGAGACGTGTTTCAAACCCTGATAAGTATCTGGGGAGCTTGAGGAACATAGAGGAGTGTGATACTCGCTAGAGAACTAGTGACTGCAACAGCTGGAGTTGGTTTTGGACTGCGAGGCTGATGAGAACACTGAGTTTTGGACAATGGAAGGTGCAATGTAAAGATGGGGAGTTGAAAACAACTATGAGATAACCTCTCACCCCAGTTGGAATAGCAAAATTTAACAGAACAGCAAACATCAAATGCTGGTGAGATTGTGGAGAAACTGGAACCCTTATTCACTGTTGGTGGGAGTGTAAAATGGTGCAACCACTATGGAAGGCTGCATGGTGCTTTCTCAAAAAGTCGCAAATAGAAATCCCAGTTGACCCAGCAGTTCCACTACTGGGAATATACCTTAAAGAAACCATAACTGATACCCAAGCAGATATATGCACACCCATGTTTATTGTGGCTTTGTTCACAATAGCAAAGAGCTGGGAGCAACCCAAGTGCCCATCAACAAATGAATGGATAGAGAAACTGTGATCTATTCACACAATGGAATACTATGCAGCATTGAAAAACAAGGAACTCATAAAATATTATGCAAAATGGATGACCCTGGAGGACATTATGCTGAGTGAAGTCACAAAAAGACAAATACAGCATAATGCCACTGTTCTAAAACAGGACTGACATAGGGACTGGGGGGAGACCGAGAAAGAGGGGATAAGTAATGTATACTATGTTGAAACAGATGAGGGAGAAAACTGTTTAAAAGGGATATATGATTAGATGTTATTGTTATGACAGGAGTCCAGAATGTAGGTAGCATAGTAGAGTGGATTTGGGAAGAGAGGTTGTATAATAATGAAAGAATTTTTTTCTTTTACTTTTCAAAAAGAAAAGCTAATTGGGGGGAGGGGTTGGCAGGGAGAAAAGTGCAACAGTGAATGAATGGAAATCCAAAGTCTATGTACACTTTCATTAAAATAAATTTAAAATAAAAAAAGAAAGAAATCAAAGTCATCACATCGACATTTAGGTTACAGAGAAATGTCAGAGTCACTTGAACCCATGACTGCCTGAACGATTAGACAGAGCTCCACGATGCCTCATTCTCCCCAGAGTGATTTGTGTGTCTGGCAGAGGGTGTGTGTGTGAGAGAGAGAAAGCTGGTATCCTAGGACTCTAGCTACATTTGGATCTCCATCAAGGCCCTGAGTCATGAATTCCCAGTCAGTCAGCTTCACTTACTGTTTGAAACGATGACGCGCATGCACGTGAATGGATGATCCAAGGTCTTTATTCCGTGCCCACCTTCTTCTGGAGACAGGTCTCGGCATTCCCCAGGGATGTGGAGATTCGAGCACTGATCGAAGGACAGTTCATGGCCAAGAGGATCCACGCCGAGGGCCTGGGCTATCGCGTCAGTAAGTGACTTGCCGGTGGGATCAGTTAGGGGTTGGGTCCTACGACTTGGCTCATACTCTGACATGCCTGGGCTCCTTCCTGACGCTCTGAGTTACCTGGTGCTGTTACAGTAGAGCTACCATGAGGCGAGGACTTTTAACAGAAATTTATTCCCTTTCAAATGTAGAAAGCCGTTATTGTTGTTGTTAGGTGCCGTCAAGTTGTACACCTTACAGCGACCCTATGAAGAGTGGATCTGAGCCCTGTTCTATCCTGTGCCATCCTCAAACTTCCTGACACACAAGAGACCATTGTAGCAGTCACTGTGTCACTGCACCTGGTTGAGTCTTCCTCTCCTTCGCTGACCCTCCGCTCTTCCAACCATCCTGTCCCTCTCCAAGGACCAGCCCCTCCTAGCAACACGCCCGAAGGATGTGAGGCGAATCCTCATCATTCTTGTCTCCAGAAAGCACTCTGGCTGCACCCTCTCCAAGACACGTCTGTTCTTTTATCAGTCCATGCTCAGTGCTCTTCTCCAACACCACAGCTCAAACGCGTCAATTCTTCTGTCATCCTTATTCTATGTCCAGCTCTCAGATGCATAGCAAGTGATTGGAAAGACCATGGCCTGAATTAGATGCACCTTGCTCCTCAAACTAGCATCATTACTCCTCAGTAACGTGGAGAGGTCCCTAGCTGCAGATTTTCCCAGTGCAGTGCTTCTCTTTATGTCCTGATTGCTGGTACCAAGGAGATTAATTGTACATCCAAGCAGGATGAAGCTGTTAACAGTTTCAGTCTCCTCTCCATCCATCGTGGCATTGCCTATCAGTCTAGTGGTAGGAATCTTTGTTTTCTTGACATTGAGGTGCAATCTAGGCTGAAGAAGTCCAAATTCAGGGCACCGGCTTTGGAGAAAGGCCATCTTTGTCTTGGGTTTGGAGGAGGGTCTCTGTTTCCGTTAGCATCTGTGGGCCTGTTCTTCCTTGGAGAACCCCAGACGTCTTGGTCTCCCTTGACCTTGTCCTAGAACTTATTAGTACAGACACCTGAGTCCAGAGGGACGTTGTGGTGGTGGGTACTGAGTGCTTCCGTCTGGCTTTGTGAGGTAAACGCGTGTGAGGCCACATCCTGAGGAAACTTCCCTTATATCGTATTGGAGTTGTGAGGATGTTCCATTCCACCCTTAATCCTTTAACAGCTGTTTGAGGGTTGGTTATGTATTTTCCACATAATATCATTACATACATGTATTTTTAGGGGACACTCACTTCAACCCATGACATTGTTTCCACATTGTATCATTAAACACATGTATTTTGGAGGAACTTAGTTCAGTCCATGACATTGGCCTTCAAGCCAGGATGAGCAGGGTAGGGGTCTGAGTGTCAGAGGGAGATGGTCCCCAGTGGTGGGGTGAGAAGGTGAACTTCACAGCTCTGTGGATAAGTGTAGACTGGAAAGCAGGTTATTCTTGCTTTTTGATCTGCTCCCAGTAAGCCAGATCTGGCCAAGATCTGCAGGATTTGGAGAAGTCTCTCTGCAGGCTCCAAGCCCCAGGGGAAGCATTCCAGCCTTTGGACCCTGGGACATGGGCAGTGAAGCCATTTAGGTGGGAAGGATTTGGTCTGGAACCATAACTGGACCTTGGTCTCCCAGTCTGCTGACGGGGATAGTTCTAGGCATTTCATCTTCAAGCAGAGAAGGCTGGATATCGGGTACTGTAGTCGGGATGCAGAGAACTGCTTTGGAGAAAGGACTTGGGGCCAAAGCAGGGCTGTAGTGAGGCAGATAAGGAGGGAGAGATTTCTAAGAATTCAAGCTGTGCAAAGGGCAGCCTTTACTGATGATGATGAACCCTAGGCTTCCAAGATGCTATTTGTCCCTCCGTGGGGGGCTGGGGGTGGTGTGTGTGTGGCTCTTGTGTCATTAGAGTAGACAAAACTTCAGAAGCCTTTCTGGACAGCTTCCTGATGGATAACTCCTGTTGGAGGGCTTTCTTTTACAGTTGACTGCTGTTCGATTAGTGTATGTTTTGTATCTTTGAACCACTCAGGTAAAGGGTACTGTAAAAATAAGCATTAGGTAAACCTTTTTTTCCAAACATAGGCAGCATCTAGGGAACTCTGGTGAACTAATGGGTAGTGAGTTGTGCTTCCAACTCAAAAGGTAGGCAGTTTAGATCCACCAGCTGCTCTGTAGGATCAAGGTGGACACCCTCCTCCTGTGTAGTTGACAGCCTCTGAAAACCTGCTTGAGGGTCAGCTATGAGTCAGTTAGGCCTCGACAGCCGTGAGTTTGAGTTTTTCATCCATCTCTCTTCTTGGTAAATGTCTACCAAAAATGCACACCCATGTTCACCAAAGACAGGAGAAAATAAATGAGAATATCCACAAGGATGCAGGTGGGGACCCCCCCCCCATAGTGGAAATGACCCTGACTCAGGGCCGTCCAGTCACTTCTGACTCACAGTGACCCTCCATCGTGTTTCCAGGGAGCTCTGGTGGTCTAGTACTAAGAAACTGCTCCACAGTCCTAGACATGTGGGTCGAATCCACCAGCTGCTCTGCAGAAGAAGTGTGGACAATCTCCTGGGTGATTTACTGTCTCTGAAAACCCGCTGGAGGGTCAGCTATGGATTGGTTCCACCTCGAAGGCCCACAACAGCAACAACCACCATATGAGGCCGCTTATTGTAATAGGAGGAGACCACCCACCCTCCTTCTGCGGAGCTGCTGGGGGTGTCAGACTGCTGTACCCTTCAGATGTTTGGGTCTTCAGCTCAGGTCACAACCAGCACTCCCAGAAATGACCCAATGGCTACTCATAGTCAAATCCCACCGTCCTCGAGTCACGTCCATCTCCCAGCAACCGAGTAACACAGAGTCCACTCTGTCCACAGAGTTCCAAAGGGTATCTGACACTGTAAATATTTTTTTATATATAAAATTTTTATTTTATACTGGTTTATATACAAACTTCGTATAAATTGTTTTTCATGCCAGATCTTTACAATTTCTTTTACCCACCCCTCTCTCCACCCATCAGATTGTGTGACCCTATGATTTACACCACCTCCAACCCCTCATCCTCACCCCTCTGTTCCTACCCTTTCCACCCTGGATCCTTATACATGTTCCACAATAATGGCCTTATACAGTGCAGCATTTGTCCCTATGTGACTGAGTTAATTCACTTAGCATAATGCTCTTCAATCTTTCCTCAAGTTAGGTAGTATTTCTGAAATCATTGCTCCCGTGTGTTGCATAATTTTCCATTGTGTAAATGTACCATAATTTCTCAATCCATTTATTGTGGCTGGACGTTTGGACTATTGCCCTGTTCTTGAAACAGTAAATCTTTATGGGAATAGATTGCTTCATCTTCTGTGGAGTTGTTGTTGTTGTTGTTGTTGTAAACTGTCAAGTCTGAACTGACCCATAGCTGACCTTCCAGCAGATTTTCAGAGGTAATAAATAGCATGGAAGGAGATTGCCCATCTTTTCCCATGGAGCAGCTGGTGGTTTTGAACCATGTACCTTTGCTTTGCTAGTGTTATTTCTTACCACTAAGCCACCAGAGTTCCCTACTTATGCGGAGTACAGCTGGTGCTTTTGAACAGCTGACCTGTCAGCAACTCAGTGCTTAACTCGCTGTGCCATCAGGGCTGCTTCCTATTAATTGTAGACCAAATAATTACACTGTGGTGTATTCAAAGTCTGGAATACGAGGCAGCTCTGGTGGCTTAGTGGTACCGGAGCTGCACTGCTAACTCAGAGGCACGGGGTTCCAATCCACCAGCTGCTCTGTGGGAGAAAGATGGGCAAAGTCTAGAATAGTTACAAAGGGTATAACTATCTGGTTATACTAACAGTTCTATGAAAAGGTACCAGCCTCAATACGACCACATAGGTGAATTTCACAAATGTAGCATCGAATGAAAGGAATCCAGCACATATGGTATTATTAGAGGATTCCACATACCAAAACAAGACAAAACTGTGTGCCACCACTGGAAATCAGGACAGATGTTACCTCTTGGGAGGAGATGGATGTGGTCTCTGGGGTGTAGGTGATACACTATTTCAAGAATTATACGGGCAGGGAGCTCTGGTGGCCTGGTGGCCTAGTGGCAAGAAGCTTCACTGCAATCCCAGAGATGCGCGGTTCAAATCCACCAGATGCTCTGCTGGAAAAGGAGGAACAGTCTCCGCCAGTACCAGTCAGATCCGATTTGACGGTACGCACACACAAAATAATAAAATTAAATTATTGTTGTTGTTGTTATGTGCCATCGAGTCGCTTGTGACTCACAGCAACCCTCTGTACAACAGCCCTAAAACATGCTCTTTCCTGCACCAATTGCACTGTCTCCGACACACCCACCCAAATTACCCCAGTCACTGAATCAATCCACCTCATTGAGTGTCTTCCCCTCCTGCGCTGTCCCTCTACTCTCCCAAGCATGATGTCCCTCTCCAAGGACCGGTCCCTCCTTATAACATGTCCAAAGTATGTCAGATGAAGTCTTAGAATCCTTGCCTCTAAGGAGCAGCCCGATTTAACCCTCTCTAGGATGAATCTGTTTGTTTTGTTAGCAGTCCATGGTACAAAATTAAATTTAAGAAAAAAAAAAAGAAGTATACGGGCATTATTGGTTTGTAAAAGTTTGGATTTAGAAGAGGTTGTGGTACTAGGGATATTATAGTTAATATTAGATAGATCTTGGCAGAAAGTAAAGAATACCAGAAGAATGTCTATCTGTGCTTCATTGACTATGCAGAGGCTTTTGACTGTGTGGATCACAACAAGCTGTGGCTGACTCTGAGAAGAATGGGAATCCCAGAACATTTGATCGTGCTAATGCAAAACCTATACTTGGACCAAGAGGTCATCAGAACAGAGCAAGGAGACACTACATGGTTCAAAATCAAGAAGGGGGTCCGTCAGGGATGTATTCTGTCTCCATACCTTTTCAGTCTGTATGCAGAACAGATCATCTGAGACACTGGGCTATATG